TCATTACTGTTCTTATCATCATCATAATGATTATTTATAGAAGAATTCTCTAGATAATAATGGAGCCAAAATGTTCTATCTCTATGCTATGCTTACCAACGAATCTGCCTTATGACAGCAGGATACATTCCCTGTGTTTGCACATTTCTGGTGCCAGCTAATTTACTCACTTTGGTTAGTATCTCCATTGTGTCGCCAGCACAGTAATGGCCTCATACACGCTATTACTATTGGTGTTAGTCCTTCAGAGTTGTTGTGGGTTTTTTTTTTAACTTTATTTATTTATTTTAGAAAGAAAGAGAATGAGTGTGGGTGGGGGGTGGTTAGAGAATCCTGAACCTACTCCCCACTGAGCACAGAGCCTGATGAGGGGCTGGTTCTCCTTATTGCATGACCTGAGCCAAAATCAAGAATCAGATACTCAACCAGCTGGGCTGCCTAAGTGCCCCTCCAGTTTTTTTTTTCCAGTGTTATTCCTTCAGAGTTTAAAGAAAACTGAAATGTAACCCCCTCGTTTCATACCTAAGTAAATTGTAGCCTAAGCCAAAAAGAAGTTTAATTTTTTGGAACTCTTGAATTTTAGCGTAGTGTACTTTTTTTTCACACCACAATGGCTTCAAATTTTGCGGATTAGTCTCATTATAAATTGACAAGAATTCTAGAAATTTTTACATAACAAATCAGTAGAAACTAAATATCCTATTTAGCAGTGGAAACACTAAGCCAATAGGTATTTATAAAAAGAGAACAAAAATTATGCTAACTTAAGCCTTAAGATTAAGCACTTAATCTTAAGATGTATCTTTTTAATTTTCAGAATAGGAATGCAGACACTCTACATGATATATTGTTTTTCTACAATACATCCCTAGAAAGGGATGTTCAATTCATACTGAAAACACATTCTTTAAAGAGAGCTAGTTTTTAAATTTTTCAAAAAGTTAATCTGAAATTAATTTATTTAACTTAAACTTTGGAAAAAAGCAAAGAAAATGAATAGAATTCTCATAAACTTCATCAAGCAAGAGATCTTCTAAACATGGAAACTGGCCTGCTTTTATGCTTCCATTCTGCCCAGTGAAACCTCAGAGAAAACTTACACTATGGACTTCCAGGGATGTGACATCAGAGTTTGACATAAAAAAAAATGCATGAAAAGTTATTACTATTCCTATCTCCCAACAAGACGCATCAGGGCGGGCAGAGGAAATTATACCCATAACTGCAACCTGGGCAATGACAGAGCTATGTTAATTGCTTAACATAAGTCTTTCTACTTAGAACATGAGTAGTGATTAGATAAAGGAAAAATAATAATATTCCAAAGTTTACCATATTCCAAGTGCTTTATGTATATGAACTCATTTATTTCACCACACCATGCATATCATTATCTCCCTCTAAACAGGAGGAGAAAAAAAGTAAATAATTTGCCAAAACTGACACAGATAGGAAGTGCTAGATTTGAAATCTGAAACTGAGCTTGTCTGGCTTCTAGCCTATTTTCTTTTAGCTCTAGCATATGTTCTCCACTCTGAATTAAATGAATGTAATTATTGGCAGCGATGTATGTGAATAGTACATGTAGGTTTAGTGTATCACACTACAAGTTGTGAGTGTGTGTGTGTGTACATATACACATTTATATGCAGACTGTTCTCTATTGAAAACACGGACTTTTCCCCTTAGCTCCTGGATTTCCACCAGTTACTCTTATTTTACATGTAGAGGAAAAAAGTCTTGAAACTTAATCCTCTAATCAGACCCTAACTTGTGTTACTCGAAGGGCAGCTGTGCTTAGCCTGTGATAAAATATAGGTGATAAAAGACAACTGGAGAAGAGCGACACATTCCCAAAAGTGGAGCTCAGGTAGAATTTGAGAAGTACCAGAAGACAACATTTTGCAATAATTTCTTATAATGTTGCATCATCAATTCTGGAGGTACCATCCAAATTGCTAAGTACTCTTGCATTCAATATTCGGTACAAATCAATATTTTATATTCAAATATAAGTGATATTTGAATGAACTATGGCTCACACCTCCTCTCCACTCTGTTAATGTAGATAATCGAAAGTTGACTAAACTCAAATATATCAAAGGAAACAAATTCAGTGCAGCAATAATAGTTCACATATACACAAGAGCAATTGTAGAAAAAAAATAAAAGACCTAAAAGACACTAGAATTCCCCAATGACTGAACAAAGCAATTAGGATAGCCTTTACATATTCCTAAAATGTGTCATTTTATGTGGATTTTTAAAGAGTTCATCAGTAGTAGAACACATACCCTCCAATTTTATCTATGGTCAGATCAGATTGCAATAATAGTTAAGTTGTATAATGCCTAGATATTTCAAGGAATGACATACTGCAGATAGGTAAAAACAAAGAGCATTCAAAAGTTAATCCAATATTAAAGGACCACCATTTCCTGCAGAGTGAAAACATAGAAAGATTTGCAAAAAAAGGCAAAGTAAATAAAATGACCACTAAGTCTATCAATAATATTAAAACAATATGAAACACTTTAATGATTAGTTGTATAAGTATGGTTTCTTGGCCATGTAGGAAAAGGGAGAAAAAGGTCAATAAATATAATCATGCATGCGCTATAACTAATGTTAGAAGTAGGAAAAAAAAAATCTTAAACTTCATGGGAACCATTATAATTGCAATAGGTATAAAGCTAATTCTACCAATGACCAGCCAATTCTAGCATTAGTGTTGAGAACTAAACACTGACCCAATAGTCTAGGGCCCTGATACCACTAAACCATTCCATTTCAAATTGCATTTGGTCTTATGCTCCATTTAGTTGAATATCTCTACGAAATGCTAACATTAGACTTAATCTATTGTAGAGTGATATGTAAAGTTCTGCTGGCATTGCAGCAGTTTTTTTTTCTATGATATATTATTACTCAATAAAAATGGAAAATCTTCTTTATTAGGATTCAATTATGAGGTACCAGAAGGCAAAAGATTATGCCAAAAAGAATCTTAATGATACTAGAAAAAGGTGAAAGTACTTTATGTGGAAATTAATAATAAACTTGGGAAAGGATCTTTAAATAGGATGTTCTCAAGAGGCAATGAAGGATGTTTCAGGGCTGCTTATATGTCCAAAGTTGGTATTCCCACCCCAAAATGCAGAAAATGTCTTCACAACGTTAATGCAAAATGAGATATGTTGGAAACATGTTTACCAATTTTTTTTGAAAGTGTCTGGCATGCATAATGGCAATGGATCACATTCCCTACATTTCACCTAAGAAAATAGGGTGACAGAGTTGGGTCTGTGTCATGTTTCCATTTTAATTAAAGGTCTCTAGTAAATGTATTCCAAAGATTCAATCATTTTGAATTGCTTTTGGCACCTAAATAGATTTGGCTGCCACACTACTACTGACAATGAAGGCATTTTTTTGTTCATTTGTTTCTTTTCATTTCACAGCTGAACTTCTGCATTCCTACCTTATAAAGTTCTTTCTATCAAGTTCAGGCAGCTATTTCATGAAAATGCATTATCATAAGAGTATACAGTTAGTGAAATTAGTAGATCAATGTATATATTTTCTTGTTAATATCCAAAGATACAACCCTAGCTTAGGAGACAAGCAAAGTGAGTATGTTCAGTAATATTAGTCTACATAAAAATATCTTAAGAAGCTAGGCCATTGTCATTAGTCATGATAAGAATGTCTCCTAGGATATGTAAGTCAAAAGAAAGTTTATGTGGCAGAATTATGTAAGGAAACTTACAATAGTGCCTGCCCACAAACCATGCAATTTGGAAACAGCCAAGAAACAAAACCATAGAGAAGGAGAGATAAATACAACATGTATTAGGGGTTATTATGCAACTACAAAGATTCAATATGACCCTGGAAATATAGCAAAAAATAGTTATGGAAAAGAAGCTATTTCTTATGCTCAGTAGCTAATTTTCAAACATATGTACCTGTATTTGAAACTTTGAGCATTTCACACATTTTTCTGTATCTGAAAAAAAAATGGATCCAGACTGATATTGTATATCAATATAGCTGAAAACAGTCAATAAAAAGGTAGCCAAAAGCAAAGTTCAATAAGAATTCTAAAAAAGGATATTATTCTGTTTGCTGATAAAACACGTCTGATGTATACTTTGCTCATATTGGAAAAGAATAATTTACTGTTCAATTTTCCTAGAAAGGATGAAATATCTATAAGATGATTTCATAAAATGTTTGATTAAATAAAAGCTAGATTAAAGTGTCTAGGTCAAACTGTAAATATAATTAGAAACTTTAGAGATAATATATAACTCCATTTTGAGAATATATATATTTTTCAATATCTAAAAGTTAATGAAATCTGTTTTCCACATAATTTACAATAACAACATTGTATATTTTCACTCTAAAATGTTCAAGGGCATTGGATCTATGAAAACAACACATATATTTTAATTCTCTATTCTGGAAAACTAAGAAATGCATACACTTCAGGACAAATGTATTTAATATAAGGTGACACAGGAAAAGTACATCAAATTTCCTTATCCATGTGAACTTAAGATTAAATAGGAAATACCTGAACATATTAATATGATTTGAAGGGGAAGGAATATTAAGATTATAGTGGTAGTACAAAAGTTCATATGTCCAGTCCATAATTCATATATTATGATTTGAATATATACTGAATATATAACATAAATACATCTCCCCATTTGTGGGCATTTGACTGTGACTACCACCTTTTATGTATATTTAAACAAAACAAAATGAGAGTGCTAGAGACAGATTTAAATTATATGCAACAGACCTAGTGAATATATGACCAAAACAGAATCAGCAATAATAATAGTTTAAATGTTGGGCATGACCATAATATGGTCTAACTTATATTAGAGATAGAATATTTATAAATATTTAACCCAATTTCAACAAACATACATCATATCAAATTTCAAAATGCATGCCTTTCTCTCTTTTTTTTTTTAACTTACTGCTTTGTAAGTTCTCTTTTGTCCAGCATGTTTCCGAATTTGTTCTCCATTTGGCCCTGTTTCCACATGCATTGAATAGATAATGTCAAAGAAATCTTCAACCACAGCTACCCGCCGTAAAGACAGCTTCTCATCTACCCCTACGCCATCCTGGAAACAAACCCCCCCCAGAAAAAGACAAAATTAATAAAGAAATGTGTATTTAACACATAAAGTTAACACACAGAGTGAATTAAAAACATTTTTGATAAATTGAACCAAATCATCCAGATAGGAAACTTTAAAAAATTGTGAGTGAATGCTGCACCATTTCATACATTACTTACATATAGAACCTTAAGAAACATGAAAAAAGATATTTGGCATAGTGATCATGCTTACCCACCCATCATGACTTATTTGTAGACATCAGTATAACTTTATTAAATTACTCCAAAATATATTTTAAAGCTTAGGAATTTTTATTACAACAATTTCATTCTAGATATTCATTCATCCAATCAATATTTATTGAATTTCTGGGTACTGGTAGCTGTTATTAGAAAAGGAAAAGAAATTATGTGGAATCTCTATCCTTAAATACCATATAATCTAAGAAAGAAAATGCATCTACTATTCTGTCAGATTGGACTGGGGGACAATAATTGTTCAAGGTTGAAAATAGGAATCACAGAAATTATCTTGGTGTGAACTTTGGATCCTCCACTCAGAAATCGTATGTTTTGTGCAAATCATTTAAACTTCCCTAAATTCTAGTCTTCTCAAATTTCAGTTTTCTCAGTTGGAAAACAGAAATAGTAGAGTCTACTTCCCAGAATTGTAAGAATTAAATGCAATAACATAGGTAAAGGATGTGACCTAACAGTTGGCATACAGTGAACACTTGGCAAATGGTAACTCTTGTCATTGTGACAATCATGATAAAAATATAGCAACATACTACAGGAGTTCAAAGAATAAAGATATCACCTCTGGCTGAAGTAGCTTCTTGAAAGAAATAGAATTTGATGTGAATGGGAATACACGCATGGTATAAGCCATAGTGGTGGTGGTGGGAAGTGGAGCAAAGAGTCAAAAGCTCCAAGAGATGACAGAAAATAAGAAATTTATAAGAAAAAGATAAGAAATTAGGAATTAGGCCAAAAAGTAAAGAAATTTAATGTTATATGAAAGGGTTTCCGGTTTGCTAACACAGACATGCACGCATGTGCATATACACACAATGTTCTTATTTGGACCCTAAGGCATAACCTGAAGTAACATGACATAGTCATTAATGTTGATACACAGCATAAGAGGATGATTAATCTGAGCAAAATCATTGTGCAATGAGTCAAATGGCAAAAGCCTCTTTGAACAGAAGTCCAGAAGACTGAGCTCACTACAAAACTCAAAATAAGTTATATAGTACTTTTTCTTAGTTTGGTTTTGTTTTTTGTCTGATTTATAATAAGTCTCAGAAGTAGCACTGTTAGGCACCTGGGTGGCTCAATGGTTGAGTATCTGCCTTTGGCTTGGGTCATGGTCCTAGAGTCCTGGGATTGAGTCCCACATTGGACTCTGCAGGAAGCCTGCTTCTCCCTCTGCCTATGTTTCTGCTTCTCTCTGTGTCTCTCTCATGAATAAATAAATAAAATCTTTATTAAAAAAAAAAAAAGAAGTAGCACTGTCTGAGGCAACATATTCATATATATACGTATATATATACAAACACATATATATATTTAAATAACTACATATTCCATAACTACATATATATTCAAATAACTATAATTAAGATAAATATATATATTCAAATATTATGAGTTGTATGTAAGGTCAAACTGCAAGTATCTCATCTCTTAAATTTGAAGCACTCTTTCACAATTACCTATGATGCATGTGATTTGTTATTAGATTATAGACCTTTCTCACTTCTCTCCTTTAACATTTTGAGGCATCTCTTCTGTACTGTGTCTCATTGATAACCCCTTATTGCCTTGTAATGCAAGACCAATATGTAGCCAAAGTACAGAGAAACTGCATGAAGCATGGCTGTGACTAGCCTGAAAAACTATCTAGTTTAGTGTAGAGTTCTTCGGAAGCACCATTTGAGATGCCTATCACTCAATCACCCTGGCCTACCTCCCACTCCTCACAGAACATCTACTGTTCTTAGGCTAGAAATCCAAATTCTAACTCTGTCTACTAGAAAATCAACACAAAATTTTGTCTTCTTTTCTCCCACTCATAAAATTTGTAGTTTCCTCTCAGTTCCTTTGCTGGGTAACCAGAAATATGGTAATTTTGTATAGTTAATAAACTATGAGTGATGTAGGAATCACAGACTATTCATTCCTTCAGCAAGTATCCCAGAAAGTCTAAATGTTGCCAAGACCAAAGTCTACTGTGTTGAGGTTACCAAGGTCAGCTGACTTCTCAAAAGAAACATTGGAGGTCAGAAGGCAATAGTACAATATAAAGTGTTGAACATAAAAAAAAAAAAAACTGCTAAAACAGAATTCTATATCCAGAAAAACTACTTTTCCAAAATTAAAGTGGGTCAAAGACATTCTTAAATAAACAAAACAGAGAATTCAATGCTTATAAACAAAAGAAATTTATGCTCTCATCGTCCTAGAGGCCAGAAATCGAAATTCAAAGATGTTGGCAGAGCTGCACTCTCTCTGAAAGCTCTAGGGGTGAATCCATTCTTGGCCTCTTCCAGTTCCTGTGATTGTTAGCATTCCATAGCTTGAGGCCATTTCACACTGCCTTCTCCTCTTTGGTGTAGCTTTTCTCTGTGTGTTTCTCTTATAATGACTCATTTTATCTGAGAGCAGTTACAGCCTATCCAGATAATCCAAGGTAATCTCTTCACTCAATATCTTTAATTTAATTACATCTATACAAAGACTCTTTTTCTAAACAAGGTAACAGTTCAATTGGAAGAACAAATTCCAGGGATTAGAACTTGAAATGTGGTTTTTTTTTTTTTGAGAGAGAGAGAAAGGTGCACACAAATGGGGGGTAAGGTGAGGGGTGGGGAGGTGAAGGTAAGGGGGAGACACAGAGAGAGAATCTTAAGCAGGCTCTGTACCCAGCATAGAGCTCAACCGGGGCTCAATCTCATAATCCTGAGATTATGATCTGAGCTGAAATCAAGAGTTAGACACTTAACTACTCATGTGCTCCAGAACTTAAAATTGTTAGATGGCCGTATTTAACTACACGAAGTATGAATTAGAGTTCAAAAGATACAAGTTGTGCTCTGGGAACATATATTGGAAATGTTTCATTATCAGTGGTTAAGAGTCCATTTTCTTTCAGGAAATCATAAATTCAGTGTTAATCAAGATAAGATTGAAATCATATATTTTGGGGAAGGGAAATAATGTTAGCCTTCTGTCATGTGGCCCTGCTTACTTGCAATTGTGATTAAGCTCAATTCACATCCATACTCTTATTAAAACTCAAAAACGCCTTCAGGGGTTGGGCCTACAACAAGTGAGCCCAGTATTTGTGGGAAGAAAACAAGGAGTAATAAAGCCCTTTAGGAAATAGAAGAAATGTATTCAAAGAGCTTGGAGCTTAGCATACTTCAAATACCATGGGGCACCCAGGTGGCTTAACTGGTTAAGTGTCTGCCTTCAACTTAGGCCATGATCTCAGAGTTCTGAGATCTATCAGCATCAGGCTCCCTGCTCAGCAGAGTCTGCTTCTCCTTTTCCCTCCTATCTCCTCACTGCTTATGCCTCTCTCTCTCTTCTCTTCCTCTTTCTAAAAAAAAAAAAAAAAAAAAAAAAAAAAACCTTTAAAAATCATACTTCAAATATCATAAAAAGAAAGACATTCACAAACAGACACATGACAGTTAAATGCCAAAGACAAAATCTCAAAAACAACTCATCAACTATTGAGGAAATCCCAATAACCATTCAATGTTGTAGACATGCCTCATAATAAATAGTAAAAGAAAGTTTTCCAGAATAAAAGTAAGTGGTAAGTGGTAATTCAAATCCAGATGTAAATACTAAGAGCTGGGCAAGCCGGGTGGCCCAGCGGTTTAGCGCCGACTTCAGCCCAGGGTATAATCCTGGAGACCCAGGATCGAGTCCCACATCGGGCTCCCTGCATGGAGCCGGTTTCTCCCTCCTCCTGTGTCTCTGCCAATCTCTCTCTCTGTGTCTCTCATGAATAAATAAATAAAATCTAAAAAAAAAAAAAATACTAAGAGCTTCAGTAAAGGAAGTAAACATAAAAAAATAATAAAAAATAGAAACATGCCAAATATAATTACCTATTCCTTTTTTAAAGGTAATAATTGAGTCATTTTTATTTATTTTTTTTCTTTATTAACCTACAATCTTTCCTCAGTTACCAAAAATAGTCAACTATGTGTTGCAAGAGGGGAGCTAGGTCCATATCATTAAGACAAAATATATAACAGGCACATTGCCATAAGGGAAAAAATACAGACAGTACAACTTATATCTTCTTACTATCATTGATAATAAGATTAATTTAACAGTTCCAAATGTGCGTGTCTCATTTTTGTGAACCAACACCTTAAAGAATTTTCTAATGTTTTCTTTAAATTTCCATAATCATCTCTTGAGATGAGAACACTAATACTCAGAAGTTTTGCAACCTTCCCAAAGACTCGTAGTAATTACAAAAGCTGAGTAACATACAGTTTTTGTGAAAGAAAGAAAATACTATTTATCCTAAGAATACACTTGGACATATCCTAAACAGATATACCTGCGGGTTATTTTACAAGGATTCCACAAAAGCCTTTTTAACCCATAGTAGAGCTGAAATAATCTACAGTTGCAATTAAACATAGCAAGATATGTAATTACAATACTAGAGAACAAGAAAGATTAAAGGTTATCTAAATGTTCACCTTGAATACTGATGCTTTGTTAACTGCTTGATTTAAAAGGCAAATGATTAAAATAATATGTAAATAATCGTATTACTGGTATAATAACATACATAAATGTAACATATTTGACAACTAAAGCACAAAAGAGTCAGTAACAAAGCTATACTGGAGTCTAGAATAAAGCAATAACAGAATAATAAATCAAATCCATATGTAGAAAGAAAGAGAATCAAAAAAGTTAATAAGGTTAACATTAAAAGCTCTATAACTATATATTTTC